GTTCACGGACGCCGATAAGTTCTAATGACCAGAATTGCTGCAGTTCATCTTTTGATGTAACAACGTTGCAGTGAAACCGCTTTCTTCCCTCCTCCGGGAGGTTCGTTGAATCGTTTAGTGATCCTCTGCCACTGATGAAGTCACCGAGTGCTGTACGTACGAGATAAAATCCTGAAGGTAATTTCTCGAAAGAACTGCTTCGGAAGATATCGTGAAAGTAATCTGCGCCAATCAAGATTTGTGGCTTCTTCCGGGTTGTTGGCAAATTGATGTGTCTCGCGGATGAAAGTTTTCGTCTTACTTGCTTAGTGAGTTCCGCTACCGGAATTTCGCCGGTTAATTCAGGTACTGAATTGACCGTAATTGTGATGAATCGCCCATCGACACATCGTAGTTTCACTCGACTGCGTGCTGACTCACCATGCATCACTTTTACTCCTCCGAATCCATCAATCGTGATTGGTTCTTTGCGTTTCACTTTGATGCCGAGTCGTTTTACCAGTTCATCAGTGATAAACGATCGCTCGCTTCCAACGTCGAATAAGACTGGTACATCGAGCATTCTCGCGGTTGGCTGATCAGCTTTCACTTGTATTATCGTGGATAACAGCAGAACTGTCGTATTAGTCTTCTTCGGTGCTGAGTGATGCCCTTTGTCTTTACAGTGGTAACAGTTGACACGCTTGGTACACTCTTGTCTGCTGTGCCCCTTTCTCAGGCATTTGAAACAGAGAAGTAATTCTCGGGCGCGGTCGTATCGTTGCTTGAGAGTAGTATAGTGTTTGCAAGCATCTGTCCAATGCTTCTCGTTGCAGAAGGCGCAAGCCGTTTATGGTATCTCCTTGTTTTTGCTCCTTGGTGTTGGTTGCGACTTCGTCGTGGCTGGTAATGCCGAGGTACGCTGGATGAATTCGTATTCATTGTTCTTGTTGGGTAGTGATTGCTCTGCTGCGCTTCGTCGGTGCGTTTTTCGTTGGATNCCGACCAAACTTTTCCCGTAATGTTTGCTTGATTGACTCGTAATGCTCGGGGCTACCGTGTAGCCCGCAACTGCCTCAAGGGCTCTTCCTTCTACCTTTTCAACGTCGGTGATTGGTTGTATGTCGATGGCATGCTCGAATGTCGCCCAGAATTGTGGCCATCCACGGTAGTCACCGTCGAATTTAGCGATTTGTAGCCTCGGTAGATTGATAAGGTGGTTGTTCGGCTGCATCGGAATGCGATTGCTCGTATTCACTGGTACACATCTGGAATGGTTGTTTGTGTTCACTGGTACACTGCCGGATTGGTCGTTTGTATTCACTGGTACACTGCCGGATGAAACGATGCCAGCAGGCGAGGTTGAACGTCCGATTCTGAGTTCGAGATTGACTTTTGCGGTTTGCAGGTCATCGAGAGCGTTGCGGGCACGTTCCAAAATGAATAAGAAGTTATCCGAGGTTATGGTTGCGTTTCGGTTGTTGTCAGTTTCGACCGTTCGTTCAGCAGGTCGAAGTTGTTGAATAGCAGAGATCCAAGCAGCGTGAGAGTCGTCAAGTTGAGTGATGTGACGACTGATTTTGCGAATTTCTGCTTCGGCCACGAGGAGTTGTGATCGAAAGGCAGTATCAGGGTCGTCAGAGGACATTAGAGCCTCGGTGTCAGAGAATTGTAGAGCATCGAGCGCTTGGTTGAGGAAAGCGTCTCAAGTTTGAATAACGGCGAGGAACACTGTGGAGATCATGATGAAACGGAACAGTTGGTGAATAGGGAAATATGGGTCGGGGGAGAATGGCAAGACGAAATCAGAGTACGGTCGACAGGCGAAGAATACAGTGACTGAACGATCCGAACCGAGAGTTAGATGAGCTGAGGAATAGTTGGTGAATGAGGAAATATGGGTCGGGGATGATTGACAAGAAGAAATCAGAGTAAGGTCGAAAGACGAAGAATAGAGTTAGATGAGTTGAGTCTGTAAGTCGTTAATAAGGCGAGCCCCCATGTAGCGAAAAAAGAATAGGAATTGATATTGGTGTCTTTTGATTGTGTCTTTTTTCGCTAATGCAGCAAACTAAAGCTAAGTATTGAATTGTGATATGCGAAGAATGGTATCGAAAGATGATTATTATTATTTGAAGCCAGATGAGAAAACAATTAACACATTCAATGATTACGATGAGAGGGAAGATCGGTAATAATATGATGCGGGATCCGAATACCCTTACTCGCAGATATGGTTGATCGTTGAATATAAGTGGACTTCGAATAAGATTTAAACAATGGTTTGGTCTGGTAGCTAACAATACAACTGACGAACGAATCATACAGTAATGATGAACAAATTGTGCAATAATAGAGCGAACCACACGAAATCGTACGAAGCAGTCAAACTGTGCGAAGCAATCGAACTAAACATTTTCTTGCATTCAAGGGTGATATTTTGGAGGCGTGATT